GCAGCTATTTAGATTTGTTTGGAATGGATTATTCACTGTCTCGAGTTCAAATAATATCCTGCTATTATCTTTTGTGATCCTAGAATGACGTTTGGTTATATAAATCACAAAATTCTTATAAATACCATTGACTGGTAGTCCTCTATTGTTCAACCTGATCATGGATGAAATAATAAAAAAGTAAGAACTAAAAAAGGATACCAAATGGGAGAAAAACTACTTAAAATACTACTCTCCTCAAAGTGAACATGATTTAAAACGTACGCTGCGCCAATTTAATATAACCCCCAGAAAATTTAACATGTAAATTTTCCCAAAAAAGACAAAATGCATGGTTACAACAGCAAATTTAGTAAGATGTAAATTGAAGCTTCAAGGTCAGATAATAGAAAAAGTGATGGACTTTAAATATCTAGGAAGTGGAAGATAAAGTAAATAGAGCAAACAGAGCCGCAGGTTGCAGTTTAAACCAGAATCCTCCTGCATAGATCACATTAATACCGTGAGGGTAATAATGGAATAATCGGTTGAATGGAACACATCCCTGGTTTTTGTTGACTTCAAGCGTGCCTTTGACAGCTTATTTCATGCTGCTTTATGGAAAATTTTACAGCTAAAAAACATCTCGCATAAAATAATTTCCATTATAAAATCACTGTACACTGAGACGAAATGCAGCGTGACATACAGTGGAACCAACAGCGACGAATTTGACTTTTTAACTGGAGTCAGGGATGCGTGCTTTCTCCGTTTCCTTTTTACATAGCTGTAGACTATGTTCTCCCCAAACTAGACTCTGACACAAGAGGGATACACTGGACGTTAACCACAAGTCTAAGCGATCTGAAATACGCCCACGATATCTGCCTGTTAGGACAAAGGTTCCAAGATGTGGCTGATGAAATACTTTCCACTAAAGCCAATAAAGTAGGTTTGAAAATCAATATTAGTAAAACCAAATCCATAAGAGTAAATCCAAGAAACAACACGCTATTTACTATTAACAACATGCAGATTGAAAATGTGGAAAACTTTACGTATCTTGGAAGTGTCATAACAGAAAGCGGAGGTAGAGAGGTCGATATTCATATGAGGATACGAAAAGCTCAACAAGCATTCAGCATGCTCAAACCTGTTTGGAGATCTGGCGGTTATACTACAAGGACAAAGATCTGCATATTCCAGACAAATGTCATGTCTACTCTACGGATGTGAAAGCTTGAAAGTAACAAAAACCCTTACAGGTAAACTGCAGATCTTTATTAATAAATGTCTACGACGAATTGTTCATATTTTCTGCCCTAACATCATTAGAAACAAAGATCTACTACACCTGACCAAACAAAAAGAGTAGAACATCAAATAAAGTTCAGAAAGTGGGGTTGGATTGGTCATACAGTCAGAAAAAATAATTCCAGTATTGCAAAGATTGCCCTAGAGTGGAGTTCCCAAGAGAACAAGAAAAAGAGGTCGCCCAGCACAAACTTGGAGAAGATCCATCATGAACGAAATAAGAGGTCAAGGAAAGACTTGGAATGAGGTGAAGGCCTTAGCGTAAAATAGAAACCGATGGCGCGTTTTCACTGAAGCTCTATACTTCACCTAAGAGTTCAAGAACCTTATATAAAGAAGTAAAATGTTTTGTAACTTTTATTGATGGTTTTTTTGTTGTTTATATTATTAAAGGTAAAAATAAGTTTGTGAAATATAAACATTAATATTTAACAATTTAATTTTGGACATATTTTAAAATCCAGGTTAAGAAAAACAGATTTTCATCATTATAAAACTTGAAATAAAGGCGGTTTTGTCTATGGCTCAATACGACTATTTATTTATAGATAATAATTTGGTTCATTAAAAAACTAATTTGAGTAATACGGAACATACTGCACGTACCTAATAACCCTTTGGTCACGATCGTGTAAGTCCCTATTTAAAAATCCATGGAAATCTGTACACATTTACACAAAGCTAACGTTGAGACCTACAGATATTACAGATTTTAATCCTACATTCACCACCATATCTCATATGATGGTCATAATCACAGATTAAACATCTAAAACGACTGACAACGTACCGTAATGTTTGTTGAATTACTTTTCAAATATACATAGGGAATTTAGACCAATTTAAACGAACTAGATGATAAATATTCAACGCTGGCTGACAAAACAGTTTTTCAATTAAAATTAAACTTTTATTTAATATTATTTTGTGAATAATTGCTGGGAAGTATTAAAAACTCTCTAAATGATGCTAAAATTGTTTTCCTTGTGGCATTTCTATATTATCCATTGTATTCAACGAGAATAAACTAAAATTTTAATTAAAAATACGTCATTATTTGATATCCAACTCAAAAATAAATCTCAAACTACATAGGATTTCGAACGAGTAAATCTGTTTTTGGAACAATAATCAACAAAATATATTGTGGGAGAATTTGGGAGAAAAAAAAATATATGACTTAACTCGAAAAAATGAAGCGAATTTTGATGCCGTAACTAAAGCTTGAAAGCTGTAATGAATAATAAGATTGTTTAATATATTCTTCATTCTATGCTATTGCCTGTGTCCTTCTTTTACCATCAAATAATATTTCTATACTTTCTTAGTATTATTCGTGCCACTTTCTCATTTTTTTCTTCATATTTTCTAGTACATTTTTAACTCCGTTCCCTTTTGATATTTCCTACTGATATCTGCTACCTGCTATCTGCTACTTTCACTAGTGGTGGTTAATTATCACAACAGCAAATTGGCCCCTGGTCTCAACAGTTTTTATTAATTTGTTAGTTTTTGTTAAGCAATTAATATAACCTGTTTGTATACATCTGGTTCAGGTTTATTGTATGTCATTTATTTGAGATATGTTATGCAAGGGGCTTAGCATTGACCTTAGAGTTCGTATGATATCTTGCTACATCTTTCCTGTCCTGCTGTATGGAGTAGAAGCGTGGACCCTAACTGAAGCTATGCTTAAACGCTTGACAGCCTTTGAGATGTGGGTATACAGACGACTACTGAAAATAAGCTGGGTCGACAGAATTAGAAATGAGGAGGTCCTTAGACGGCTGAACCAAACAACACAACTGGTCAATATAATAAAGAAACGCAAGCTGGAATACTTCGGTCATATTATGAGACACCCTGAAAAATATGATCTTTTACATCTGATCATTCAGGGAAAGATCCAAGGTAATCGTGGTCCTGGTAGAAGAAGAACATCATGGCTAAAAAATCTAAGGAAATGGTATGGAAAATCAACTACATCGTTATTTAGAGCTGCTGTCAATAAAGTCACGATAGCGAATATGGTAGCCAACATGATATCCAACGATCGATAACGGTAATGGAACTAGAAGAAGAAGATGCAAGGGGCGACGTATTTTCTTTCCTTTGGATGTGCGTCTCTTCTAATATGTATTATTCGTTTCTTCTGTCCGATGAACGATTTGTTACAGTCTCCAGATGAAATCTCGTATACTTCTTGATTTTTCAACCATCTATTTGTTTTTGCGGATGTAAAATATTTAAGATTTTTCTGTCTAATTCTGCCTAAACACTCTTTTTAATTTCTGTATCAAACCCTTAAGACATAGTAGCCTGGTTTTTGGTCTTCCATTGGGTCCTTAAATCTTTGAGTATTCTGGGCCTTTTCCATGTTAAGAGGCGGTTTTTTCCTAACGCTGTTTCCACATTATGCATTTCTTTACTGTTATGTTCTTCGTTTGACAGACTTTTGTGTCTTGTAATCAGGGTTTTAATAACTGAAGACCATTTTCTTCCAAACTTTCAAAGTAAGCCACCAAAAAAATTAACAAAACCTAAAAACTCGGGCACGTAGGGATCAAACGCTTGAGCACCAAGTAACAGAATTAAAGAGCTTAACGCTAGCCTGAATTTGAACCATGTTGGAGTTCTATTACCCAGAATACCCACATGAATCCAATGTGGATGGTAGTTGTGTCACTATCGCTCATCAGAGTGCTATAGATGGGAAAGAGATAGTCTGGAGCATTAGAGCGCGGTGTGGAGTGATTCCTGTTTACACACAAATTAATACCCGTTGCTCCAATAAATTGTTATACCCGAACGTAATTGTATGTGGTGAACAAGTATCACAGGTTGAGTTTTATTAAATTGCTAGCTTGATTAAGAGCTAGTTTACTTTAACAACAAACAGACAATATTTCGGCAATTCGGCAAGAAAACAGGAAAAACGATTTTAAATTGCTGGATTCAACTGGATCATAATAATGCTAGGTGGAGGAAAGTAGATGAAACAAGGGAAAACCTATGTGTAGAAAGGCAAATCAGTAGCTAGTAGCTCCCCACAATATTCAAATTATGGTACTATTGAAACTATTTCTAAATAACTGCCACAAGAAAATTGTTTTAGAACCATGTTGATTAATTTAATCGAATTGGTGCAATTTTAACCTTAAACCAGCGATTTCGAGATTAAATTTTAGTATAGACTAGAAATAATCGGTCCAATTTCTATTAAGATAAATTATTTACACTTTTAAATGGATTCAACGAAGATTACGGTACAAAACAGTTGATTGGAAAACGTGCAAGCAAACTATTTGTTTTATTTAAGTTGTTTGTTAAAGCCTATCAATCATACTGAGTTTGTTTAATTGTTTCATAATTGACACGTAACAAACTGATATCATAAATCATTGCCACAAGTATTATTACATTAGGAATGTTTATAAAACTGTCGTAAGATTTGCCTGCAAGTTCTCCTATTTTGTTAGTAAACAGTTCACCTAAGTCCAACTCATGTTGGACAACACCGTCCTCATCGGCAGTAAACCTTCGCTGGGCATTATTGGTTGACTATGCCTCATCATCTGCGAACTACCTTGCTCGCTAGCGATGCCTACTTGAGTATGGAATGGTTGTAGAAGTTTGTTCTCTTCGATTTGTACATTTTTGGAATTGTAAGAGACCGGGAGCGTGGTGGTGCTCCCGGTGGTTTGGCACTATGTAACGATAGGCCTTAGCTCTGTGTGTTGGGTCTCTTTGTGTCTCCTTAAGTCTACTTTGCGTTGGAATGCTCGCCCACAGAGATCGCAAGCGAAGGGTTTGAAGCCTGTGTGCTTTCTGGAATGTGTGATGAGGTTGGAGGATTGACTGAAAGCTTTGCCACACACTGTGCATTTGTGAGGTTTTTCACCTGGAACAAAAAAAAAACGTTTTTAAAATTTACTACTTGACTTAATTTATCGAATAAGTGATAACAAGAGATATAAAAGTATACTGCGCGGCATATAAACTATAATCAACTAATAAGTTTAATCATTATTTTTTAAATTAAATATATTTTATAGTTGTTATTTATAAAAAATATTTTTCCCTCCAAAAAAATATATAAAAGACAATAATTGTCCATGAAAAATAAAAATTAAACTTTGCTTAATAAGCATTGTGTAATAATAAATCATATATGAACCATTGGCATCAATTATTGCTTGACTTCTACTATCTGCTAAATTATCAAGAGATACTTGAGCAATTTTGCCCCATAACCTTAATAACAATTCTCGAAGTTGCTGAAGGGTCTGCGGAAAGGTACGTGATCTGTAAGTTTTCTTTGTACCATGCCCCAAGCATGTTTAATGGGATTGCAGTCTGGAGAGCATGGAGGTAGTGCCAAATGAGGAATTCCATGCAAATCCCTTCTTTCTTCTACAAATGCAGATTTATGTGGTCGAACATTACCGTTGAGAAAAAAATGGTCCATAATGGCTGCATGACAATTAACGATAATATGCTCAATAATGTCCCGTGTACATCTTACCAGTGATAATGTCCTGGTAAAGGTAGAGATCTGTTCTTTCACCGAAACATATTTCAGCCTAAACCATAACACCACCACCTCCAAATAGATAAACCATCTGACACGGTACTTGATTACTTGCTATCCTTGGTCCATACACGTACTCTATCTGACAATTAGGCTTCAAGCCTCAAGACATATCTCTTCTTTCCCAAAATGATATGACTGGATATCAATTCTGGTAACTTAAGAAGCTATGAAGATATTTCTTTGCCTGGATCGTCTAAACAATACGATAATGAACCTATAGGTCTATTTGAAAGTATAACCTTCTCTAAGTTATGGAATAAAATACATCCAGTGTCTTGTGTCAATACAGTTCAGACTTTGAAAAGAAAATCTAAAGTTATTGCAACAGTTTTAAACCCACCAGAAAATGTAAATGCTCTTTAAAAGGAGAAAAGATGAAAAAGAATCAAGCATTAAGATACGACAAGAAAAGAAGATCGAAAAAAAAAGAAAAAAGGTAGGTAAAGGTAGAAGATAAGAAGAAAGGTACGCAAAAAAGCAGTCAGAGATAGAACATAAACAAGAAAGGTTCAAAATAAAGAAAAGGTCAGTCCACTTAAATGAAGTACTAGGAAAACCCTCAAGTGCATCTCCATTTATCATCTGTATAAACCACATATTTAGCCTTAAGTTTGATGACAATTCTTCCAATAAATCAATAAAATCATTTTATAAAAAATGTAAATAAATCTCACCATTCAAATTGCAAGGTAATTCGCATATCCGTAAAATACCATTCAAAATTCATAGGTATATATAATGCATGTCGTATGGTTTGGAACCATTGGTAATTATTTTTTACAAAATAGTTAAGTGCAAATGTATGCCACATATGTGGCATGTGTGGCTCCCTCTATCAGCTACATCTGAGTATACATCAAATTATAATTTCTGATATTCAATAGTACCCAGTTGTAAATTTTTATACATAAATGTTGACATATATGAAAGTTATAGCAACAAATATAATTTTTAATTTCCACTTTAACACCTTGTATCTTTCTTAATATCAACATTATATTAAAGCAGATTGATTTAAATCGTAATATTTTAAAGTGTTGAATCTACGGTTTCTTTTTGTACAAATACTTAAGGACCACCCTGTATATAAATGCAGTATTTCAATAAAAAAAGATTATCCTAACAGAACATTACTTTTCATAAGAATTGGCCCAATAGGTAACCACCAAGTAAAGTCAAAATAAAAAAAAGTGATCCAAATGTACTAAAATGTTAAACTAAATGTACCTGTGTCTATTGAATAAATATCTGAATATGTATTAACAATAAGTTTTATTGTTTTACCTATTAATGGACTAGATTTCTTTTTTGAAAAGTTATGCTTAGTGGTACTATCTGAAATTATACTTAAGCCGAAAAGCCTTTAACTGGTTTATTAAAATAATAAACAAAATATTTATAAAATAAGCATTACTTAGCTGATCACTACTGACATACGAATAGAACGAATTACATTTGTTACAACACATTGTCACCGAAACCGCTCTCGCGATTAAATACTGTGAATATTTAGGAATAATATTTATAATATAATAACCATAAGTTCTCGTCAAACTAACAAGAATTTATGTTTGCCGTATGATATATGATACTGGAAGATTCCTAACAAAATCCTCGTAAGAAAACCTCTCAGTCTATACATCCATCTATCCATCTACTATCTATAACTTAGGTATTATCGATTACTATCACAGTTTGCGGCAGCCGTGATTCGTGCCATTATTTCGGCACAGGCCCCGCCCGTGCCCTCCCGTTGCCGTGGCAACGAAGCCCTCGCTTTCGCGAGCAAGATAAAAAACGGCCGATATCGCGGGCCAGATAAAGAAGCACGAACTGATTCGCGAATCCTGAGGGAGATGAACTGATGAGGCCATTTCATGAATAGCAGAAAGATAAAGTCAGCACGATCGTAAAGATCCTTATGCTGATTGATAACGAATGGATTGCTTAAGATTTGCGCTTACGTCTTCATGGGCAAAGATTCTCAACTTTTTTTATTATCTGAACTTTGGGCCTTAATGTCGAATGGGTTTATTAAGAAAATAAAGGGGACGATGTTTATTAAACTATGTCTGGGTGAAACTTCATGTAGGTAATATAAAAGTACACACAAATTAAAGTTGGTATTAAAATTTAGTTTTATCAAATAAGCGCTTTTTGCTTCTTCTTTACTCCAGTGTTTAGTATTTTTTTTTATATTCTGGCATTTAATTTCTTTTTTAGTACTTTTCATATTAATAGAAACATTAAATTTGTCAGGCCCTACTCGTCTATTCGGTTTGCACTTTTGTTTCTTTTTGGTTCTATATTATTTTATTTTCTCATTTCTCTCTTTTATGATGCTGGCAATGACAATAAGTACCTATTGGCGACGTGCAAGTAGGTACTTGGATGTGATACGAGAAACGATCGTGAGCGAGTAGCGGAGAAATCTTGCATTTTTTACTGCAAATTTCATAGATTTCATAAATTCATATTGTCAATTGTCATATTTTATATTCGTTTGTTTATTTACACCTTCTGTCACTAAAGAAAATGGGATTTAGGAAATGCTGCGTTATAAATTGTAAAAATACAACAAAAATTGTCAATTTAAGTTTTATTCGTTTCGAAGCCTCGAAGCACAAATTACTACAAAGAGAAAAGTGGATTTATATCATAAAAAAGCATAAGTAACATAACCTAAATTTTGCATTATTCTTGCGCCCGATTTTAAAGTCAGTTTGAAATAAATAAAAGTTCACTTTTAAGTGTAAATTTTAGTTTCATAACACTCACTTAGAGTTCATTTTAACCCAAAACTCAAGATTAATGATTAAATTTTATTTTTTTGAAATTTACAAAAAGTTCAAGTTTTTCTGAAGATGCATTAAGATATATTCGCTGTCCAAAAGTTTACAAGGAAAGAATTAATTGTTTAAACCAATATGATGATATCATGGGCTTAACCTGCTAATTAATGCATTATTTATGGTAATTTATTTTTCTTAATTCTTCCACATAATTCTTCCATTCTTTTTTGACATTTGCCACTACTAAAGCTTTTCCATTTGACTCAGTGCTTGGTTGAAAAGTTATTTGGTGATTTACTTTCTCAAATCCAGTTTTTATTATTGCATCCATATTAACAGTAATGCTGTAATTTAATAATATATTTATTTGTATTTACACTACATATAACGTTTACCTTTTAATATCATACCGACATAACCTCAATCTTACGTTTTCTTCTTATTCTTTTTTGGGGCTACGTCCATGACAGTTTTCCGGTAACCTCGATCTAACATGAAAGCGCAGTAAGTTTTGCTGATTTACGACACCAGGTGTCGCTGTTCCGAACTTGCACGGTCCCAATATTATATTAAGGCGTTGGTGATATACCTACTACTCTTATGTCACCTTATTTCAATTATTGACTTTAGGATTTTAATCTTCATATTTATAGTAATTACTATTTAAATGAGAGTACGCCACAATTACAGATTAAAGTTAGTTTATTGACGTTTCAATTTACACTTCGGAAATCGTTCTCAAAATATAACAGTAGTAAATTAAATAAATTTTGTTTTTTTTTTTTGTTACTTAGTGAAAAATTCTTCTAATAATTTAATTTTATCTGACTCATTTATATTGACAATTCAGACATACATTATGCATTTTAAAGTAGACGACTTTAAAATGATATTGCCAATATTGTTCAGTTAAGTTCCCTGGACGATTTTATTATAAGACAGCTCATTCGATTACATGAAATCAACTTTAACTTAAGAGTATCCGCCAGAAAAAAAGCATAGCATGTAATTCGCCTTTAAAAAGACAAACACATGCCATGATGTTGCGTAGAAAATTGCTGCTTCCCATTTTGTAATTACGGGCTCTCGAGGAAAGCTTAGAACAGTTTTGCCTTTGGATTTGTACACGTAAAGGTGCTTTCAAAATACATTTCTAATGTTTCAAATTATTTTATTGACTAAATCAAATTCACTACTAAGAACTTCTGCTACTCTGTTTATGCCATATAAAAGACAAGTGACAAATGCCATATTTGTATAAAATATTTTCAAATTTTGTGGTACTTTAATTTACATATTTTTAAATGCCATTTGAAAATGACATTTAAAAATATTAAAACAATTTTACTTTTTATTTCTTTTGAAAAAAAGAAAGCAGAGTGTTTGCGGAAATGAACGACTTACAGTCATATTAGAATAGAATAGAAGATAAATATGCTTTATTGTCACTGAAAATTATTGAACAATTTTATGGACAAAGCTAAAAAAAATGAGTCATAATATCAGTCATAATAG